AAAACAGTAGTTCGGAAGAAAAAAAAAGATGTTGTTCGGGAAAAAAAGAGAAAAAAGACATGAAAAAAATGGAAAACAAAACAACAAAAATGTGAAAAAGAAAAAAAATCAAATGCATTCTGAAAAGAATTTTGTTTGTTTGATAGTTTGTCTTTTTATCTTGTTGTGCTTAATGTTTTGATGGAGTTGAACTTGTTATTTGTTAGTTCCTTGCCTTGAATTCTAGCCATATTAATTAGCCTTTTCCCCACCTTTACCTAAGCCTTGTTACAACCAATAAAACACCCTTTGATTTATGCATCTTGTTCTTATTAGTAGTGGAGATTTGATTTACTTGCAGGCCTATGGTAATATCTTGTTGGTTCTGACATTGAGCATTTCTATACCCCAAACACATTGAGTGATTTGAGTGAATCCCGGTAAGGTGTTGAGTTATGAGCATTGAGATTAATGAATGAATGGATGCTACAATTGCATTTAACTTGTTACAATTGGTGATATTCAATTGATTGATGTCTTGACTTGAATAATTCTTGTGGTCTCTACCTTACTTCCTTGGATGTGAAACTTGACAAATAATAGTAAATTTAATTTTTGACAAATTTGATTATATCATACTTGAGGAAAAACATGAGATAATTGAGGGGGAATTTGATGAGTGTTCAGAATCGTTAATATTTGCTCGTTATTTCTTCGATCTTGTGGATTTATTACTGCTGATTTGGTTGTGTTATGTTTATTTTCGTGCAGGTCCTTACTTTCCAGAACTAGTGGTAAAACGGATGTATTCTGTATTTTTTTATTATTTAGTCAATGTTGGAGACATGGGCATAACTCTGGGCATGACACGGTCTGACGTGATAGTTTCTAGAAGGTCCAGTCAACGGTAGTTTCTAGAAGATCTACTCAGCACGCCTTCTGGAAGATGGACGAGCAGAGTAGTATTAGGAGACTTGTTTAAAGTTTGAATTTAGGAAAAAAATAATCTTCTTGGGGTAAATGTGTGGGCCTAACGTCTAGGTCGGATCTTGGGGGTTACAAAGCATGAGAAAAATAATATCGCTTAGAGGAATTGAACCCAAAATCGTAGAACAGGGATGGACATGCTTAGACTACTAAGCCAAACCCAATATATGTTATTAGATTGTCAAAACTTTTATTTATCCTATTTTAAATTTTACATAAACAATGAAATTATAATATTCTAATAAATAAATTATAGGATAAACTACTTAAATGACTATCTAAATAAAATTCTAATAAATAAATTATTAGTTAATGCAAGGTTTAAAAATAAAAATAAATTTAAGATTTTTATATCTTTAAATTAAATTAATTTTTAAATTAATTTTATTGAGTTTAAATTATATATTTATTAGAATATTATTTAGGTAGTCATTCAAGTAGTTTATCCTATAATTTATTTGTTAGAATATTATAATTTCATTGTTAATGTAAAATTTAAAACAAGATAAATTAAAGTTTTGAAAAATTAATACCAAACATTGTGTTTGGCTCAATGGATTAGGCATGCCCACCCTTGATATAAGGTCTCGGGTTTGATTTCGCTGAGCTGCATTATTTCTCTCATGTTTGTTTTCTCTTTAAACACTCACTTGACACATCTTGATTGGTTAATTAATTTTTTTAAATTAAATTAAAACTAAAACTAAATTGATAGAATATACAAGTATTGATGATCAAATGTGTAACTATACAAATTTTTGTTAACTGTCACGTCACTCCTATGTTAGATTTTAATGGCTAAGGGCTATATTAAACCCTTTTAAATAGGACTATTAGATATTTTAGGCCCAATTTTTTTAATCATTGGAGTCTTCTTCAACGTAACTAATTGACTATGAAATTGATGAGGACTAAAATTGAAAGCTAAAATTATTGATCGAAATTTTTAGGAAACCATCACTAACAGTCTTGTTGTTGCCTTCAGAATTAACTTTAAGTTTTCTTTTGTCATTACGTTCTAATGAGGGAGAAGGATAATCACAATCACAATTAATAAAAGGAGATAAACTCGATTTTTTTAATATCACTCTCAGTTTATTCCTTCAATGATGCGACACTTAACCTTTTTTCATGTGTGATTTATTTTCTAAACACTCATCTTTCAATGGAACGCTATGTAAATTAGTTTGTTCTGATCTATTAGTTAAAACATCCTCCTTTAATGATCGACTATGTATACCTTCTCCTCTTATTGAATTACCATCTTGTATTGAACTTTTAACATTACTTGGTGTTAATATGCTCATTAATTTTTTAAATTAGTCATTTAATACTTCAAATTGACCTGTTAATTTTTCGAATTGACCATTCATTATAGAAAATTCCTTTTCAATATTTTGCACCAAATAAATGAGTGTCTCAAACTTGTGATCACTCTAATAAGAAGATCTTATCTTATCCTCCTGTACAACTTCAATTTTCGTCTTATATGTATATAAAATAAATAAAAAAATAAAACAATAATCTTAAATAATATTTACGATAAAAAATTCATCATTATTATTAAAATTTTAGTTAATTATAATGAATATACCTCATTGTTTGTCTTCTCTGAAATCATGTTGATATGACACTTACACTCCAACATCTTAACTTGTTTTGAAGGCGTTAAGTTTGAATCCATCTTCATGTTAAAAAGATCAAATATAAGCCTTCACACTTTAAAAAATTACAAATCAAGCATATTCGTATCGATACACTTTACTAGTGTATCGATACACATATTTGAAATGAAAAATAGTGTACTATTATGGTACCGGTACACTATCAGTATCGATACTCAGATGCTCGCATACTGGTACACATGAGCCAAGGTATCAGCATGACCTGTTGGATTCAAATTGGAAATTCAGAATTGGATTTCAAAAATACAGTTCATACGTAGGAATTAAGGTCCAGTTGTTCTAATTGGGGCTCTAATTTGGGAATTAAGGTTCAATAATTGCACTAACTATAAAATTAGGGTTAGAGTTAGGGTTTAAGAAATAGGGGATGAGGGAAAGATGATGACAAGGGGTAGTCTCAAACCATAATCCACGACCACTTTCAGTGATGGCGACGACAGCTGGTGGGGCCTCACTCACCGGTGACAGCTTGGACGGACGACCAAGTTTGAAAAGAAATTAACCAGGTTTACCTTAACGGGTTGGTTACCCAAATGGCGGTGAACGACATCCATGTCGGGAGGGATGAACGATAAAAATTCAATCGACGGTGATAGATGATTCCGCTGACAACAACGACAGTAACGACGGGAACTTCAAAACTTTAAAACATATTAGGGTTTTTTTAATTTAAGGTTAGTATTTGATTTAATTATAATAAAAATAAGATTATAAAATTTAATGTAATTAATATTGTATTTTAAATAAATTGCATTTAGATTTTCAACTAATTATAATTATAAGTTGAGTGATTTATAATTTTAATGTTTTATAAATTAATTTAAAAATATTCATTATTAGTTATACTCATCGATGCTCATCGAACATGATAGAATCATCATTATCTATAACGTTCAGTTATATCCAAATGTGTGATTATGTAAAACTAACATCTATAACCTTATTCACATAGTATAAAAAATTAGTGATAGGGAGAATTAAATGATGTAGAATTAATTGAAAGTATGCCACTACATAGTAAAGAAAAGTCTAGTAATAGGAGCAATTAAATGGGTAACATTAATTGACAATATGATAATGACGTATTTATTCAATGATTTCATTGATAATTAATAGTTCATAATTTAATTGTGATTTTAATGATAAAATAAAATATTATTTTAAAGATATTAATTTAAATAATTATATTTGTGAAGTGGGTGTATATTATTATAAATTAAGAAATTTTATTAATTTATAATCACTACAAATTAATAAAAAATAATTTATGATTTAATTAAAACCAAGTTAATAAATTATGTAACCTAATTAATATATTTTATTGTTCAATGGTGAGAATAGAAGTAAGGATGGCAGACGAGTATAATTTCATGGATTTCGCACTGCATCCGCACCAGCTGAGGTGGTGATGGGTATAAGTTTAATGGATAGTGGGCGGATGTGGATATAAAAGTCATACCCGCTGTGGGTACTGGGTACTTGATGAGTTGAAGTCCTTACCCGCCTCGCATCCAGATGGTAAGTAGGTGATGAATACGAAATTATTGGGTGGGGATGGGGATGGGGATGGGGATGGGGGAAGGGGTATCTGCACCCGCCCCACCCATTTGACATTCCTATAGAAGTGTTACAATTTTGGTAAAATACATTTAGTATCTAAACCATCAGTTTTGACATGTTTTAGTACCTAAACTTTAATTTTTAAAAAAACCTTACCTAAAGTTAATTTTTTTTTATTTTAGTACTTACCGTTAAAAATTCATCGTCTTTAGTATCTAAACTGTTAATTTTAATTTGTTTTAGTACCTGAACTTTCAATTTGTTTCAAAATATAACATATAATTTTTAACAATATACTAAAATAAAACAAAAACTAAACGTTAGATATCATTTTTAAAAAATTAAAAAATTAAATATTAAAATAAATCAAAACTGATAATTTAAGTAATTAGTTTACCCTAAAATCTTTTGTACAATACTTTTTTACGTATTAAAAAATTACATGCACTTTATGATATAATAAGTTAAGATTGTAAGTAAGCGGAAGGTGAGATGTACCCATAGCATGATGTTAATCAACGCCACATCACGCGGTAGGCTTTGAAAGTCAGCAATCAAAAGCTGCCTTCCACCCTCCTAGTAACGACGATCTCAATATAGCCACCCAATCATTACCCTCCACGTGTACCCAAGTTGGTTTATATATAAATCCCCTCTCGAATGCTTTACTAGCTTCGTTTTCTTCAAGATCAGATCAGTGAGTTATGACCGAGAAGGTTCCTTCACTCTCTTCCGTTTGAATTGTAGTTTTGCTCTTATTTTTTTTCCACCATGCATTCTGACAAGGGGTGAGCTTTGTAGGTAACGATAATGGTGCTGAAGGTGGACCTTCAGTGCTTCAAATGCTACAAGAAGGTCAAGAAAGTGCTCTGTAAATTCCCTCGTGAGTTTCTTTTTACTTACTTGATTGATCATTTAACTGAAGTTTACAAAAATGGTGTCTGAGTTATGTTTTTATTTGTTTCTGTTATGAACAAGAGAAATACGAGACCAGATATATGATGAAAAGGCCAACACGGTGACCATCACTGTCATATGTTGTAGTCCGGAGAAGATCAGGGACAAGATATGCTACAAAGGTGGCGGATCCATCAAGAGCATTAAGATCAAGTCGTCGGCGAAGCCCAAGGACCCGGAGAAGCCTAAAGAGGCGGAGAAGAAGTCCGATAAGCCGAAAGAGGCCGGGAAGAAACCCGAAAAGCCGAAAGAAGCTGAGAAGCCTAAAGAGTCGGGGGAGAAGGCCGATAAACCAAAAGAAGCTGAGAAGCCTAAAGAGGGTGGGGAGAAAAAGGCTGAGAAACCAAAAGAAGCGGAGAAACACAAAGAGTCGGCGCCCGCGCCGGCGGTGAAGGCTATGGAAGCGGCTCCTTTACCGCCAGTGGCGTATGCGGTCGGGTATTCATATATGGATGGCTATGGTGGTGCTGGGCCTAGTTATTATGGTGGACCTAGCTATTATGGTGGACCTAGCTACTACGGTGGACCACCTCAACAACCGTTTCAAAATTACGAGACTATTGGTAGGCCGGTCTATGATAGCTGTGACAGCGCCGGATACTACAACAGTTACTGTTATGGCGGCGGACGTGGCGGTGAAAGTTTTAGTGATGAAAACCCACAAGGGTGCTCGATCATGTAAGGAAGAACGTGCTGGTGAGCTGCATATAGTTTGAACTTGAAGATACTAATAATCTCTTATGTTACTTGTTCAAAATGAAGTCATTTGTGGATTTTATTTATTTTTATATTTCTTTTAGGAGTTCATAAAAGTCATGAATGGTTAACGAGTTATGTGGTAGGGGTTCGGTGATGGTGTTGGTGGGTATTCATTTTATATTTACTTCTCTTTTTGTTAGATCAAAAATAATTCAACAATATTAGCACATATAACAATGGAGACAAAGTAATTAAAATAAATTAGAATTATCGACAAGCATATTAAGGAATGAAAAGCATAAATATCCCAAAACATCAAATGTATATACATAAGTTCAAGTATCCAACAAGATAATCATCCAAGTATTAAATAAAAGTTTAATATACTAAACATCAAAAGTGAAATATTCAAAATGTAGCGAAGTCTAAATATGCAATAATAATGATATGATGTGCATGTCCTAAGATGATGGAGGAGGGAAGGAAAATTTGTCAAGTTGATGTTGGATCGCTCGAACCTCCTCGGTCATAGGATCTTGACGACTCTCTATAGCATCAAAGCGAGAGTCGACATGAGCTCAGAGAGAATCGAGAGACTAAAATATCCTCTCCTCAAACCCTCGAAAGAAATCCACATGAGGTGTCAGGTCAACATGAGGCGCTCTCTCGGGTTCCTTGCCAACGTCGTCATGTGCATCGTCCATGTGCTCATCTACGTCATGCTCAACTCCATCATGTTCATCCTCCATGTCCTCTCCATGGCGACTATAGACCCAATGCATGGATCCCCTGGGCGCCTTCATATACTCGAGATTCACCATAGTGCCTCGACCAATGGTCCTATCGTCTAAAGGGTAAGTGCCAGGCTCGTGAGAGGTGTCCACATCAAGAAGCTCGAATAAGTGGCTAAGGTACATGTCGTAGACTAGGTTTGGTCAAGCCTTTGATTTTATGACGCTCAATATGTCATTGAAGATCATGCTCTCAAGATGAAGCTTGCGACTTTGTTGAATGAAAACATCCACCAATAGTCGCTCTCATGAATGGTCGAGAATTTTGTGCCTCGAGCACGAATGCAATGAGAGACGATGAGATGAAGCAAACGGTCATGAAGGGAGAATAGGATCACTCTATTATTTCTAAGGCGCATGATGACGGGAAAAAGGGCCTTTTTCATTATCATCGCTGGTAGGAAGAAGGTCAAAAGACTAGGCAATGAAATCAACAGTGATAGTGACAGACTGGCCCATAAGATATGAAACTATGGTCCGATATATGGTGCCATCACAAGAAGCAGAAGACACAGAGCATTTGAGTAAAAAGCTCGTACCAAAGAATGATAAATGGGACCACTGAAGTTTAGAAAAGTAAAAAGCTTCATATCTTTCAAGTTTTGCTCGTAAGGAAAACCCAAGTTGTTTAAAAAATCAAAATCGATTTTTTGGGTTTCTTTAATATGTCAAGATGCAAAAAATGAGTCAAAACGCTCACGAGCTTTGGAATTTAAAAAATATTGGTCCATCCAAGAGCCACTTTTAGGATTGCTCGAGGATACCCCCTTTGAAGCCATACTTTTTCTTTCGACATATTAGAAAATGATAAAAATATATTTTTGAACAAAAATGAGTGTTTAAGGATCCCAAAAAGGAATTTTGGAAGATTTAAAAATGAATTTTTGGTTTAAAAATGAGGTATGGTCGAATGGGATAAAGGGTGGTTTTTGGTTAGTGACTTTTATCGAACACCTAGTGGGTGTTAGATAAAGATTTGGGATTTTCAAAGAAATTGATTATGGGTAAAGCTCACTACAATAAAACAACAAATTTTCCGATAAATAAGTGTTCTCTAACCATCAAATTCAACCCAATTTTACCAAAATTGAAAAATTAAAAAGTTAGGATTTTGAAAATTCTTACTCAAATGTGTTGATTCCTTTAAAATGATGATATGAAATGTTGAAAGGAAGTTTGAAGGATGGTTTTCGCACAAAACCCAGTTGCAATTGATTCACATTGAAGATTTTTTGTAAAAATATGTGCCTAAAAATAGATTTAAAACGTCTTTTCTCCTAAAGTTTGGCCAAAAGGGATCGATCTTCTTTTTAAAAGAGATCGATCCTTTATGAAAAGGGATCGATCCTTTTGCAAAATGGATCAATCCTTTTACAAAAGGTTGGATCAATCCTTTTACAAAAGGGATCGATCCTTGTCCTTAAAAATTGAATCTTTTATTCCAATGGTCAAAATTGATGACATGAGACACTAAATGGATGCAACCTAAGTCATATTATTGATAGAAAATTAATATTAGTGACTTAGGGGATACTAAATGTGCATGAATGTCAACTTGATACATCAAATTATGCAAATTTTTATTATTAATCAATATAATCCATAATTTGCATAAATAAAGTCCAAATCAAGTCACACAAACATACAATGACTCTAGAGATCCTAAACATGCATATTTTCAATTTTTACTACATTTAAACTTCATATTCTCATAATCAATCAACATATGTAATCAATACAAAGCATGGATAACATGATTTCACCACAACAATAAAAAATTGCAAATTTAAGGCTAAAATCATCTTCATAAGCATATAAGACCATAAAATTGCAACTCATGCAAAAACTAACTCCCTGTAGCTAATTTCAATTAAACACTATGTAGGGACACACAAACATATAAAATCATATAAAGCACAAAATTGCATTAAATAAAAACTTCTTACTACTTAATTAAAGTTGTCTCCCTTTATTCAAGTGTTCTTCCATAGTTGAATTATTGTTGAATTAATATTTTGATATAACATTAAGTTGCAAAATTGTTTTGGACTTAATTGAATTTGTCAAAAATTTATCAAAAAAAATTCAAAGTCCAAATTAACATGAAAAAAATGTTTTCAATGTTTTTCAACTTAGTCGAACCTTTTCAAAAACAAACTTGATCGTTTTCATGCTTTAAAGTTAAGTTTCCAAAGATTTTTTGCTCAAAAGATTGATCCCCTAGAAAAAAGGATCGATCCCTTTGACCAAAAGATCGATCCCTTTTAAAAAAAGATCGATCCCTTAGACAACAGTGAGTTTATGATCGATCTCTTCACAAAAAGGATCAATCCCTTGATGAAAATGATCGATCCCTTCCCTTAAAGGATCATTCCCTTTGTTACAATAGTCGAAATGTTTGAAAAATGATTGATCCCTTTTAATAAAGGATCGATCCCTTGGGCATTAAATGTTGTTTTTGGTCGTATGTAACAACTATAATGATCCATAACGGCTCCAAACTGCTAGAATTAATGGAGAAGGTATAAATTGAAGGTAAAAGCTTCCAAGGTCATCAAGAATCATATTGAACCAATCTACCAACATCAAAGCTTATTTTTTGTGCTTAATTTGTAAAAGTCTTTGTTGTAAACACACTTGTGAGCTACATGGTTTATTTTGCTCAAGTGTGATTTAGGTGAGAGCTTAATTAGTGCAAACTTATTTGCATTTGTGAGGTTTTTCTTTAGTTTTCTAAATTTGTAATTACTCTTTTGGAAATAGTGTATTCAATGTTTTGGGGTATAAACCTTGAAGTATTTGTAAGGTTACACATTGTTCTTAAAGATAAGCAAATCTAGTGTATTTGAGAAATCCTTATTGTAGATGTTAAGGTAGTGGATGTAGACTTGGTTTAAAAGTCGAACCACTCTAAATCGTTGTACAAAAAGTTCTATTTTTTGATTGCTTCCACCAAAAAAATTTAAAAGGCCAATTTACCCCCTCTCTTGGCATCTTCGGTTGTTCGTACGAGCTCAACAATTAGTATCAGAGTGGGTCACAATCAACAGTTTAACAACCTTGTGAAGATCTTAGAATTGCTCTATCAATTTTTTATTCAACCGACAAGATGGCTTCAACTTCCTACTCATTCTACATGGAGGGCTCCCGACCGATCGACAAGCCTCCATACTTCAATGGAGCTAACTATGGTCATTGGAAGAACTTAATAAATCTATTTATTCAATCCATTGATCTTGGAGCATGAGATATGATCTTAAATAGTTATTCTTCTCCAACGAAGAAGAAAATGGAGTGGAGTAACCAAGAACGAAAGAAATTTCAACAATTAGTATCAGAGTGGGTCACATTGTATTTTTTGCATTTGGTCCCAATATATATGAAGAAGTTTTTTTATGTTCTAATTCCTAGGAGCTTTGGGATAAGCTTGAATAATTACATGGTTACAAGAAAGAATAACCATAAAGTTCAAACCTCCTCTCAAATCCAAAGGTAGTGTGCTTTATGGCTCTTGAAGAGCCCAAGGTATATTCTAACTCTAATGAATTCGATTCATGTTCTTTTGATGAGTTACAAGATGCATATGATGAATTATTTTTGGAGTTTGAGACCATAAACTGCAAATACAAGAAAATGATTTCAAATTTTAAAGTTGAAAACGGTTTTCTTTTGAAATCAAAATTGGATTTTGAAAAACAAAATGAAATTTTGAAAAATATGATTTAGAGCTTTCAAAAGTAAAAATTGAAAAATTTGAAAAAAGAATGCTTTGATTTAAAAGTTAAGCTTGAATGCTTAACAAAAGAAAATGAAATCACTTTAAATAATTCATCTAATTTCATAATGATAAAATGGTCACATTGTCATTATAATGGTCACATGGAACATGCTTGTCCTTTAAAGAAATGAAAACATTTTAAAATTAGACAAGTATGGGTTATAAAGGGAACAAGGGGCATTAAAACTAACATCCAAGGATCCAAAGCAATTTGAATACCAAAATCCAATTGAATGTCTCTTGTAGGTGTGTGGGAGCAATGGTGATGAAAGTGAAGATATTCAAATGCTTTAGCCACACTTGATATGGAATGGGTAACCTCTAAGCTTATTTTGATTATCTTACATAATTGGTTGATCATTTGGTTTAAGCATGCATGAGTTTTTTATTTTTAAATAATTTTATGTTTTCTATCTCATGTATGTTAAAAAGTGTTGTGATGAACATTTTCTAAAGTTTTAATTTTTTTTCATAAATGTTTGTTCATCATAATGAATTTTGGTCAAAATTGGTTTTAATGCTTTGTTT